AAATAGTCACACCATCCATATTTAGACATCAGAAAGATTTACTCAGAAAAATCATTATTGTAAAAATAGTCACACCATCCATATTTAGAAATCAGAAAGGTTTGCTCAGAAAATCATTACGTCCCCAGCCCTGCTGGGAAACTTCAGCAGCTGAGGAAAACTTCAGTGTCACCCACAGCTACAGAAGTCTCTCTAGATGTATGTCTGCTCTTTACAATAAAAGTGCTCTCATGAGATCCTGGGACACCTTTACTTCTTCCTCCCTCTACTGTTAATTGGAGTGCCCTTGAATTAAATTGTTAAAGGTATGTGACACTCGAAGGGCTGTAAACCCTACATAGGGAGGAACTATTTAAGATTATACAAAGGGCATAATTAGAAGCTGTTGAATGAAGTTAAGCAAAAGTACACAAAGCCTGAGTATAAGAGCTTGCCTCTCAATCTTCTAGCACTCAGAACGGTTTTACAGAAAGCACAAAGGCTTGCCTCTCAATCTTCTAGCACTCAGAACAGAAAGCACAAAAGCTTGAGAGCTGCTAAAGAGACCGATCACAGAGACTGCAGTGCCTGATGCTGTGCCACCCGGTGGAGTCCTCAGAGCACCTGGACAGCACAGAGGAATTACATCACCTCAAAAAACAGGATCATGGGTTTTTCAAGTCTGAACCTGCTTCTGGAGCCTGTCATCACGGATGTCACCCACCTCTCCCAAAGCGTGGCCAGAAAAAGACAAACCAATGATGCTGCCTAGCCCCTTAACTAGTACTCTGCTGGTTAGAGTACCCAGCACACAGGAGACCTGCATTCATACTCTGCTGGTTAGAGTACCCAGCACACAGCAGACCTGCATTCAGGTCCAGAGGAGGGCCACAAGGATGATCAGGGGGTTGGAGCACCTCTGCTACGAGGACAGGCTGAGGGAGCTGGGGTTGTTCAGCCTGGAGAAGAGGAGGCTCCGGGGAGACCTAATAGCGGCCTTCCAGTACCTGAAGGGAGCCTACAGGAAGGCTGGGGAGAGCCTGTTTAGAAAGGCCTGTAGTGACAGGACGAGGGGCAATGGCTTCAAGCTGGAGGGGAACAGATTTAGACTGGAGATGAGGAGGGGGTTCTTCACTGTGAGGGTGGTGGAGCACTGGAACAGGTTGCCCAGGGAGGTGGTTGAGGCCCCATCCCTGGAGATATTCAAGGAGAGGCTCGACGAGGCCCTGGGCAACCTGGTCTAGTTGGGGGTGTCCCTGCTGACTGTGGGGGGGTCAGACTAGATGGGCTTTGGAGGTCCCTTCTGGCCTTCTATGATTCTATGATAGAGTTCTATGATTCAGTCTCCTCTGCAGGGAGCTCTGCTGAGTGTCTGCCTGGGTGGAAAGGTGGATGCTCCTCCACAGGAAAGGTTCACACAGAGGAGGACTGGCAGGTCTGAGAGGGATCCCACCCCACTGGACACATCCTAACTGAAGGAGCTGGGCCTCCATCCAGGGTGGCACCCACCACGGCCATTCACACAACCTGCTCCAAGCCCCGTCCCTTCCCTGGAAGCCTCTCCAGAGATGACAGGGAAGGGGCTGAAGGTGGGTAAACTGTTCCATCAGGGGCAGCCTGTCCCTTTTTGCTGCACTTCCCAGAAACATTTTACTTTCCTGCCATGTGATGATGCTGCAAGACCTACAGAAACTCCACGGAAGCTCAGAGCTGGGCAATGTCAGCAGAGCAGCCATCCCCGGAGAGTTCTGGGCAGGCACGTCTGCATGGGACCTGCTCGGCTCTCTTCTTACATATTTTGCTTTCTTTCCATCATGCATTTCACACAGACATACCATGTGCAAGACCACATTCTAAACTTGCTGAACTATCATTTAAAATTTTGGGCAACAATTTATTCATTCGCTTGGTGTTTTGTTGCTTGTTTTTCGAACTTCAAACATTCCATCCCATGTCCTACTAAAATGGAGTCTCCAAGTAACAGCAAAGTATCCTTTTTTTTTTTTTTTTTTTCCTGGAGGTACATGATGTTATGGTTGCAGTGCTTGTGATTATTTCTGTGGCTGGCATCTTCCAACTTCTCCGTTATGTGCTTATCTTTCCAACCACATCACGTGGCATCCAGGCTGCAGGAAGACAACTCTCTTATCATTTCGGGATTGTTGCTTCTATCTTGCATCACAATGCAGCTTTTTGTTGAGAGAACAAACAAAACAATCTGGTTAAGTCACCATTCTGTGCTCTGACAGTGACTGTGGGTTTCATGCCTTGTAGTTAGGTCCTACCAAAGAGCAGGGCTAACAAGCTGTCCAAGGCTTGTAATTACTGGAGGAAGCATATTCCCTGGTGTACTTTTACGGCTGGAAGTACTAGAGTACAGGCTGGTTTGCATCTGTTATGGTTGTATTTGTCTCCACTTATTTGAAAAGTAATGCCTTTCTCTCTCTGGAAAGGGATCCTTTCCCCGTTGCTCGGAGGGATGTATTCCCAGGTTGGGATTTGTGCCTGCTCACACAAATACAAAGTACAGGGCTGTGTACTTTGCTTTCCCTTTTTGGAAAGAAACTTGCCAAAGCACTGCAGCAAAACCAGACCGCTTACTTCTTCACTTCTTCATTTATAAGCTCTTTCATTCTAAAGGAAAATATTTTTCAGCATTGCAGGTATTTGCTGCTGGCACTAACATCTATGCCATCTTGTGTACGTTCCTATTCCTAAGCCATATAATTCTTCTCAATTCAATAAAAGAGCTCACTCTCAATTATGCTTTCAAGCTTACACAACAACCAGAATCAGGAGGAGAAGCCCCACATTATTCTTGAGAGAGGATAAAAGGCAAAGAGCAGATGCTGACTGATGACCTTCTCAGCAAGAAAACAAATCCACCCCCAAATCCTCCAACTGGCAGGGAACAAAGCTAGGGAAGAGTGGATGCATTCTCTTCATTTTAAGCCAAGTTCTGTGGCAGCAAATATCCAATTACCACAGGCTCTAAAACTAAAGCCTGCCAATAATAAAAGGGCACAAAGTTCCTAGCATTCATGAAACACTGAGCAGAAAAGTACCTCATCTCATCTTTCAGCAGCAGATAAAGGGGATTTTAGAAAAACGTTTCCCAAATTGGAAGGAAATTATTTTTTTCTCAAATCAACAAATTGCTTCTCAACACTTCCCCTAAGAGGAAAATTAGCATAATCCTAGTAGGTAACACCTCCCCTAACTTAAAAACTGAGTTAATGATGCCTTGGCAGAAACAGAAAATCTATGTAAATTCAGATTTGCTGGACATCTGCAATGTAAAAGGTTGAGAACAGGGTCAGCTTTATGAAGGAAACTGTGATGTAACCAGCATTACCACATTTCATTAACCAAGTCCTTTTTGCTGAATGCAATGAAAGAATCTACAAGTTAAACAGATCCAATGGGCTCCAGGTCATTTACCAAGTGCTTTTCCTATTACTACTTTAACAGGAGTGGGAAAGCCCAGACGTACACATTGAAAACATCATTTGTGTAAATTAACTCTCTCAGCCTTAGAATAAAAAATAAAAATGTACAATCAAATTTCTGGCCGCCTCATTAATGCCTTATATTAAAAGATTTCTAGAAGCCTTAATGATACAAGCATGGAAGTATTTTCCTTCTAATGCTATAAAGCAGTACTAGAGCCCAGGAATGCACAGCTTCTCCTGGATTCTGAATCATGCACATTTACAAACCAAGTGATTATTCCAGAGTCTAGGACAAAGAATCTTTCCATCATTTGGTTTACATTTGCATGGCAATACCAGTTAGACGTGCAGATTTAACGAACAAACATGTCCAATCTTACATAGATTATAACTTTTTGCATATCTTGAGCATATTTCAAAGCTAGAGAAACATATGGAAGATTTCCTAAACAAATTAGAGGCAGAGCATACAGCGAAAGCAGTTCTTCCAGTAGATACTAACAATGTAGAGACATTTCTTAATTCTAAATTTGCAAAGGTACCTATGTATTTCATTACCAAACTGTAGTAATTGAGAATGAACTTGTTTCCCATTACAATAAGCAAGCACAAAGGCACCTCTGCAGCCATTTTCTAAAGTTCAGCCTGTACATGTCAGATGTATGGACACGTCAGACAGATGCAGAACCAGGTCTCCAGCTGCTGTGGCAGCTTCAGAGTCCAGCAAGGTGCCACCTTGCAAGCATGATTGCCAATAACCAGGTAAAAGCAGAGTTATTTGGTAAAAGGAAGGTAGCAAAGACAAAAATTGATCCCAAACTCTTAATTCTCACGGGGATACAGCTCCACTACTTCCTCCAGAGACCTGTCCAGCGACTCCTCTGAACTGACATACGCTCTCTTAAGCCAGGCTTGGAGCAAGTTCCAATTTATAATAAGCAGAAACAAGCACTGCTGCCGGTGGTAAGCTACTAAGTACAAACTTCCTGCTTTATGCTGATTATTAGCTGCCTAAATAGCTCAATGGATCTGCAGTCCTTTAATGCAGAAGTCAAATTCCAACGGTATCATGGATAACCTGCTAGCTATAGAACTCTAGGGTGCTTGACAAGGTAAGAATATTTCTACTTTTAATTTAGCTCCATACTGCCTTAGAACTGATACTAGTTATTTGCCTTATTTGTACACAGGAAACTAAGTACTGTTTTAATAAATTCTAAGTTACAACCTAATCTATTTCACAGAACCATAGAATATCCTGAGTTGGAAGAGACCCTTGAGGATCATCAAGTCCAACTCCTGACTCTGCACAGGGCAATCTATAAGTTAAACCACGTATTTAAGAGTGTCGTCTCCATGCCTCTTGTGCACCAACGGGCTTGGGGCCATGACCACTTCCCTGGGGAGCTCTTTCCAGTGCTGGACCTTCTCATTTCAGCTCATACTTTAGAAGAACTGTGTGAGATTCTAGAAAGAAGTTAGTTTTGAATAGCACATTGCTAGCCATAGTGGTAAAAAGGTTTCATAGGCCTGAGTTGGGAGAAAACACACAAAGAAACAACACACAAGCAGGGTTGCTTCAGTTTTATTTACTCAGCAAACATTTGACCACGTGATTTTTATCTGCCATCCAAGAGCTAACTAAGAATATTATGTGCTGGCTGCTTTTTTGTGATGAAGCTTTTTGCTAACAGGATCTTTTTCCAGAAATAAAAGACCATTAGTTTGTTAAGGTGTCACCGTTTAGGTAAGTACAGTTGCTAATTTCACCCACAATTAAATGGTATTTACAACAGTGCATCTTACAGTTATTCTACAAAGGACAAGACTCTCCACCTGAAATTGTGCTACTCCCTGACCCACACCAGGATTTCACTCTTTCAGTATTAGAGGGGCCTTCACCTGTTCAGCCACTTCCTTCCCCATCAGCGTCTCAACAATGGCCAAGCCAAACTCAAAGCTGGTACCGGGCCCACGGCTGGTGAGGATGTTCCCATCTTTCTCCACGCGGCTCTCGGAGTAGCTGTAGTGTGCTTGGGGGGACACACAACAGGAACAGGGTCAGTCTCCAGCACAGTGCCCAGCACCCACAGGCTACAAGCAGCTGAGGAGCAGCTTCTCACCAACAGCCACGCTCTGCAGGACACCCCTGCCCCTTGGAACCCAGAAGTTCATCGCTGCCCACAGTCATCAGCGGGGGAAAGGGCCCACAGGGAGCTCTGGCACCCCATTCCCAAAGTCTGGAAATGCAGCTCTGATTCTACAAGCTCGTCAAGAAGCGCTTGCTGCGCCTGTCAGTTCCCGTGAGGTTACTTTTGGAAGTCATTCTGCTTTTGTGCAGCTGTTCACAGCTTGCTTTTTTTTCCAAAGGCTTGCAGAAGAAACTGGAGGAACCCTGCCATCTCCTGCTCACCTTCAGACTCGTTAACGTTCACAGAATGACTTCTTATTAGTGCTTCACCACCACTTCCTTTAGGTATGAGAAAGAAGTGTGGATTCATCAGCTGCTCATAGCACTCACGGGAGAACAGCAAAGTGCTACTGGGACCACCGAGGCAAAGAATCAAAAGGGCAAGAGGTGGCTCAGCCTCAAGAGAATAAGGGAAAAAGTGCTCCTCGTATGACAGCAGCAGCATATTTTCCCCAAGGATGAGAATGTTAACACAGGCCTATATTTTCAGGTCAAACAGACTTAGAAACAGCCTTAGCATATTCAGTTGAATTTTGATTACGTTCAGGAAAGCATGAAGGTAATTCAGGAGATAAAATAAGACACAAATGCTATTTTCCTTTCTTTAAATCAAGGGTTCAGCTAAAAAAATAAATAAATTCTGAGAAGAGTTTAGAGAGAAACTTAAAAAAGTTGTCACATACCTCCATTCATCATTTTATCTTTGGCCAAAGGATGTGTTGTGACTTTGCTTCCAAACCCTATCCCATGTGCCAGAAGGGCAGTAGGACCTGTGAGGACACAAATGTGCACCAGTGAGGAACTGCTTTCTGCCAGAAACACTTTCAAGAACACGTTTGGGCACCAGGCCCTCAAGGGGCCAAAGCTCACTGTGGACAGACTACTTTTCATAAAACTGATGCCAGCCCTATCTCTGCAGGGAGCCTCAAAAGAATACAGCTGTATAATCTCTCCTGTTCTATGACACAAACACCCTGCACAAAAAAAAATGAAGAACTGAGAAGGTTTAAAGAACACCCAGTTCACACAGCTGTTCTACCAATGACTGTGCTGCCTACCAAGGAGTCAAGAACAATGATTATTGAAATAATACATTTTTTTAAAACTGCTTGAAACTAAGTAGCAAAAAGTCTGCATTTCAATCTGAACATTAACTAGGTACAATTACTTTGCAACCTTGTTAAAGCCTTGAATTTAGAGACTTCACTGGTATAATTATATTTGAGTAAGCCTTTACACACTGGAATTGTGTGCCAAGCAGTATTTTGGACACATCATGGGCTAACCATTAAGTTTTTGGTTTTAACAGTCTTTATCTTTTCTTTTCATACTTGCTCCTTGGCCTGAACTGAGGAAGGAGTTTGTGTCAAGAAGTCTTAGGTCATCTGACAGAAAATCCTTACCAGAATTCCAAAAGAAACTGAAGGCAGGATTGGCCTAATGTGAGTTTCTTTACATTTCTTTATATTTGATTCATTTCAGATGTAGCCCAGGAAATAACCCTCCTTGCATACAGTTGGAATCAGCTGCTAAGAAGCATTATACCTAAATCAATTACAAACAAAGGCCTTTTTTGGGCTATCAGGAATTTGCAATTGTTGTGCAAGAGATACAGATAGAGATGTAGAAGACTACCACTGCCCAGTTCAATGCATGTCGCCTAACTGAAGAATGAAAGCAAAAAAACCAGCAATGTATAAGAAAGCAAAAGTGAAAATACACTCCACAAAGACACTGTTAGACTGTCTTTTACATGTTCATCGCCATCTCACTCTCAGCTACAGGCACCTAGGCCAGCCTCTCAGTTCAGCTGGGAATAATGACAATTGTTCTTCTCACTTTTTTTTACATAAAAATCTTACAAAGGAATGAGCTGGATAACTAGCTGTGACAAGCCTCTCCTCAGAGTAATTCCATCTTTTGCCATCACTCAGATGAAGAAGGGTGAGCCTGTAATTCTATATTTACAGCCTCCCTTCTGAAGCTAAAGGGCAGGAGGGGAGATATGAGATAAATTTATAGCAATGATGTTCTGCCAGCACTGTGCCCTCGAAGAAAGATCACCAGAATAAGCAAATATTTTGTAAAAAATGCTAGCACATTACCTTTCACTTTTTATTTTAAAGACAGTAACACAAGTGATTGAAAAGAACTGAGTACCAAGCAGAACTTTCAGGCTAAGTCTTCACAGTATTTTAGATATTCCTCTGCTACTAAATTTACCAAAAATTTAAATGCTGGGGGGTGCACATATAATACAAATCCCTGCTGCTAATTACAGGAATATAGACTTCTAAGACAGGAAACTGTCTGCATGCCCCTTCCAAATATCCAAATGCTTTACAAAGCAAGACGTCTTGTTAACTCACCTGCACATATAGCAGCAATCAGGCCCTTTCTGCTTTCCTGGTCTTTCAAAATCTCTTTCACAGCAGGAGACTGTAATGAAGAAACCGTATCACAAGTCATTGTCTGGGGTTGATATTTGAAGCATTGTTGAAATACTTTCCACAGCAAATTAATAATAAACAAGTTTTATAAAGACAACCAGCTGACAACTCTCCATCCTACCTCAGGACAGCAGGCAATGAAAACACTAAGAAGGAGCAAAAACTGAAACTAATAAATACTTGCCCCACAAAGAAAAAGTAAGGAAATCAGAAGGAACTGCAAGGATGTACTTGGCCCACAGAAAAGCTGGTTAATCCACGGGCATAAAAGTTGTTGATCAAAAACTTCACAAGATAAATAGGAAAGAGTATTCATGAGATACCTCCAGACAATCTCGATCATTCTTATAAAGTTTTATATGGCATATTTGTCTCATATTCCAGAGCTTACAAAATGTGTGATACCATCTAAATCCTATCTGACAGACTGACTTGTTTGTCTGCCTGCCTTCCACAAGGTATTTATACCAGCACTGCAACAGTTTTGCATCATGTATAATCTCTCCTGTTCTAGACCACAACCCCCCTGCAAAAAAAAAAATGAAGAACTGAGAAGGTTTAAAGAACACCCAGTTCACACAGCTGTTCTACCAATGACTGTGCTGCCTACCAAGGAGTCAAAAACAATGATCATTTCACTTCGAAATAATACATTTTTTTAAAACTGCTTGAAACTAAGTAGCAAAAAGTTTGCATTTCAACTGTTCTACCAATGACTGTGCTGCCTACCAAGGAGTCAAGAACAATGATTATTGAAATAATACATTTTTTTAAAACTGCTTGAAACTAAGTAGCAAAAAGTCTGCATTTCAATCTGAACATTAACTAGGTACAATTACTTTGCAACCTTGTTAAAGCCTTGAATTTAGAGACTTAACTGGTATAATTATATTTGAGTAAGCCTTTACACACTGGAGTTGTGTGCCAAGCAGTATTTTGGACACATCATGGGCTAACCATTAAGTTTTTGGTTTTAACAGTCTTTATCTTTTCTTTTCATACTTGCTCCTTGGCCTGAACTGAGGAAGGAGTTTGTGTCAAGAAGTCTTAGGTCATCTGACAGAAAATCCTTACCAGAATTCCAAAAGAAACTGAAGGCAGGATTGGCCTAATGTGAGTTTCTTTACATTTCTTTATATTTGATTCATCTCAGATGTAGTCCAGGAAATGACCTTCCTTGCATAGAGTTGCAATCAGCTGCTAAGAAGCATTATACCTAAATCAATTACAAACAAAGGCCTTTTTTGGGCTATCAGGAATTTGCAATTGTTGTGCAAGAGATACAGATAGAGATGTAGAAGACTACCACTGCCCAGTTCAATGCATGTCGCCTAACTGAAGAATGAAAGCAAAAAAACCAGCAATGTATAAGAAAGCAAAAGTGAAAATACACTCCACAAAGACACTGTTAGACTGTCTTTTACATGTTCATCGCCATCTCACTCTCAGCTACAGGCACCTAGGCCAGCCTCTCAGTTCAGCTGGGAATAATGACAATTGTTCTTCTCACTTTTTTTTACATAAAAATCTTACAAAGGAATGAGCTGGATAACTAGCTGTGACAAGCCTCTCCTCAGAGTAATTCCATCTTTTGCCATCACTCAGATGAAGAAGGGTGAGCCTGTAATTCTATATTTACAGCCTCCCTTCTGAAGCTAAAGGGCAGGAGGGGAGATATGAGATAAATTTATAGCAATGATGTTCTGCCAGCACTGTGCCCTCGAAGAAAGATCACCAGAATAAGCAAATATTTTGTAAAAAATGCTAGCACATTACCTTTCACTTTTTATTTTAAAGACAGTAACACAAGTGATTGAAAAGAACTGAGTACCAAGCAGAACTTGCAGGCTAAGTGTTCACAGTATTTTAGATATTCCTCTGCTACTAAATTTACCAAAAATTTAAATGCTGGGGGGTGCACATATAATACAAATCCCTGCTGCTAATTACAGGAATATAGACTTCTAAGACAGGAAACTGTCTGCATGCCCCTTCCAAATATCCAAATGCTTTACAAAGCAAGACGTCTTGTTAACTCACCTGCACATATAGCAGCAATCAGGCCCTTTCTGCTTTCCTGGTCTTTCAAAATCTCTTTCACAGCAGGAGACTGTAATGAAGAAACCGTATCACAAGTCATTGTCTGGGGTTGATATTTGAAGCATTGTTGAAATACTTTCCACAGCAAATTAATAATAAACAAGTTTTATAAAGACAACCAGCTGACAACTCTCCATCCTACCTCAGGACAGCGGGCAATGAAAACACTAAGAAGGAGCAAAAACTGAAACTAATAAATACTTGCCCCACAAAGAAAAAGTAAGGAAATCAGAAGGAACTGCAAGGATGTACTTGGCCCACAGAAAAGCTGGTTAATCCACGGGCATAAAAGTTGTTGATCAAAAACTTCACAAGATAAATAGGAAAGAGTATTCATGAGATACCTCCAGACAATCTCGATCATTCTTATAAAGTTTTATATGGCATATTTGTCTCATATTCCAGAGCTTACAAAATGTGTGATACCATCTAAATCCTATCTGACAGACTGACTTGTTTGTCTGCCTGCCTTCCACAAGGTATTTATACCAGCACTGCAACAGTTTTGCATCAGAAACAGAATTCTTAAGCAACGGAACAGGAACAGAGTCCTGTGGGTTCAGCCTGTTTTGTATTTCACGGAATTAAACCTTCATTTGCCACTATTTCACCTTCATATGATTATGAACAGATTTCCCCAAAATACCCTTCCATTTTCATTCTGCTTAACTAGGTACTCAAGTTCAAGAATTTGCCCACCTACGTATTCACAAGAAGGCTTGAAACAATTAACAATTAGTTTGCTGATTCATTCAGAAGAGAATTTTCAGATGCTGAACTGAATCTGCAGGACTATGAAGCAAGTGTAGACCACCCAGTACTCATGAGGATGCCCATGCATGTTTAAGATACCAGAACTTTACCTCGGACAAGTTCTGAGCTCCAAGGTTACCCCCAGGCAGGACCACGACATCGTAAGGCCCCTAAACAAACAAAAGATAAAACTGTTCTGTTGAGCAGAGACTGGTACATTCATTACACTGTTTTAAGGCCATTACAGCTGAGTTGAGTGAGAAGCAAAGGGATCTGTCTCTTCTTCCACTGAACACCACCTTCTGATCAGAGAACCAGTTCCAATTATGGAACAAAATATATCCCTATTCCAGGAAGAGCCTATGATCAGTAAAGTCTATCACAGAATTAACTTTTAAGCCCAATGCATTTGAGAGCTTCAGCAAGCAAACAGCAGCTCTTGCACTGTAAGGACAAGTAGGTTTGCTCCAGTCCTACTGTACAGGTATAACTACAGCACTGTTTACCTTCCCATCAGGACTTTCAGCTATTCCAAATCTCAATATTTTGTTGGGCTGACTAACATGCAAAATAAAGCTCTATATCAGATGCTTTGCAAGAGCAAATACCCATGCAGAATTAAGAAATCTGTCTGATCCTAGCATGCTATGAAGCAGGACAATGCTGAAGGGGAGCACTGCAGTTCTGTGCAGTTCTGGGGCAGTTCTGTGATTCACTGCTGCATAGAGCTAACATAACACACAACGTCTGCCCAAAGGGGAGGCACAAGCTTTCCAAATTCACCTCTGAAATGGTGAGAAAGGCTAACCAACCTCTTTCCTGGCATCTTCGAGGCTGGCATCAGGACAAATGAAGACATCTCGACTGCACTGCACTGGTTCTTTTCCTGTTAGGCCTGCAACAGTCACTTTGATCTAACAGAAAAACACATGTATCATTACAATTCAAGAATTTAGGGCATTTTTCTTAAGTGTTAGTTAGTTCTAAATGTTAGGTCTTTACTAGTAAACAGTATGAGCGAAGCACTACTGACAGCTGTCAGGAAAAGGGCAACACTTAAGCTTCCCCAACCCATGATTAAGTCCAAATGCACAAGGTAAGCAGTGATATTCACCTTGAGATTAACAAATACCTCAGACAGTTTAACTTTTCAAAGGACATTTGGAGAATATCGAATCTCGCAGGATTTAAACAAAACAAAACAACACAACCCAGGAGAGCAAGACTAAGTAGATCAGATAATCAATTAAAGCCTCTTTGCATGCTCAGGTGATTGTCAAACACACTGACAGTAACTGTACCACTACAATTGCAAAAGTAACAAACTGCACAATGAATCACACCATACAGAATTGTAGTTAGTAACAGAATTTTAACAGCAGCTCAAGAAAAGCTATGCAATGGCAGGAGCTGCAATGTACCGGGCCGTTCAGACCCCTACAGAAAAAGCACTTCCTGTTACTACACATGGAAGTAGCCACGATTTCTGACAGGGTAAGGTGTACTTGAAACATCCACTCAGTTCTACATTAGGCTCAGTATTTAAAAATTTTATCTTTTGTACAAATGTCTGTTGTCCTGCGTGCTTATTTGGGGCATGGCACAAATATTTGCTAACCAGTCAGAAGGCACAGGTAAATTTTCATGTCATACAACAGACCACTACTTTAACTCCTAGCCATGAACATCAACTCGAGGCAAAGATTTTTCCCTTGACCAATTACTCACAAAAGGGTTGTTTTTTTTTTATTATTATCTGCATACTCACCCCAGCTCTTCTCATAACATCAGTGGGGATTACAGTTTCCATTTCCTCTGCTCCTTTTGCTAGAATCACCAATGCTCTTTTCGAGGCCATTCTCTCGAGGGGATGCTATTAGGTGTGATGGTTATGAAGGGAGGCTGAGGGGGTAGAAAGCGACAATGTGGTTAGAAGGTGAATCCTTCTTAATGATGAGGTTGGCGAGCAATTCGCATTTTTGCATTATCTTTCATTTAAGCCACCTGAAAATGGTTCACTAGCTTTAATTAATATTCACAGCAACCCTGTTTAATTGAAGAGCTTTTTACAAAGGCGGCATGACAGTGTGCAGGGATTCAGACATTTGTGCAGTGGGAGGCACAGACAGCAGCACCAGAACGGGAAGCAGCTTGGCCTAATCAAGACTCTACATGGCCCGAGTCCGACAGAGGGGTTCGGGGTGGGCGGCAGAGCTGTTTGCAGTTTGCACGCCCTCCCTCATACCCAGACACTGCCTCCTACCCAAGTCAGCATTTATAAAAAGGGCTTGCATGAGCTTTGACCTCACGTCTGGCATTTAGTTTCCACACAGCACGCTTCATAAAGAGTTTCCTGTGACTTACCGACTCGACCAGTGCCCCTGCGAAACCTGAGCGACAGATTTTCTGAGTATTTCACAATTTTGTGGGGGAGAAGCGTGTGCGCATATGTGTGATGGGGGAGCAGACCACAGAATTTAGCAAATGGAACAAATTAGGCTTAAGACCTTTTTTTTTAGCTCCTAAATTCAAGCTGAGGTGAATAGCAAAATTTCCATTTAAAGGTTAAGTTAAAGTAACTTCAATTACATCATATAAAATACACACTAACTCATAATGGTCAGACAGAAATCTGAAAGCAGTTTTGGTGTGAGAAGGCATTTCACAGGTCATCCACTCTATGAGACAGGGATTTTTTCCTATGTAGGGGCTTTCCATCCAGAAATGTAGGTAGCACCTGAGAACTCTTTATAAAATAAGATCCACCTTTAGTTGCCTATACAAAAGAAAACCATCCCCTCATCCTGCTTCAACTTCACCTATTTTCAGGTTTGATCCCAGCTCTTAGCCTTGTTTAGAAAAATGCTATTTCTAGAATGCAGTAATACACAGTTAAAAGTCCTGCAGCAGGCAGAACCAGCCCAAGCAGACTAATTCAGTGTGTCAAATCCTACTTTTAGGGCAGCTTTATGTACTGTCAAATGGAAGGCCAGCTGGACAAATACATTCAAATCACAGGTACTAGCAATAACTTCAGGACAACCTGGAGCTTCTTGATAATTTGTCTTTTAAAAGTCCTGCAGCAGGCAGAACCAGCCCAAGCAGACTAATTCAGTGTGTCAAATCCTACTTTTAGGGCAGCTTTATGTACTGTCAAATGCAAGGCCAGCTGAACAAATGCATTCAAATCACAGGTATTAGCAATAACTTCGGGACAACCTGGAGCTTCTTGATAATTTGCCTTGGAGACCTTCTAGCAGCCTTTCAATATCTGAAGGGAGCCTACAGGAGAGCTGGAGAGGGACTCTTTGTCAGGAAGTGCAGTGATAGGACAAGGGGGTAACGGTTTTAAACTGGAAGAGGGGAGATTTAGATTAGAGACCAGAAAGAAATTCTTTACAGTGAGGGTGGTGAGACACTGGAACAGGTTGCCCAGAGAAGCTGTGGCTGCCCCATCCCTGGAGGGGTTCAAGGCCAGGTTGGAGGGGGCTTTGGGCAGCCTGCTCTGGTGGGAGGTGTCCCTGCCCAGGGCAGAGGGTTGGAACTCCATGATCTTTAAAATCCCTTCCAACCCAAACCATTCTATGACTCTATGTTGATACTGCAAAATTATTTTTATGAATCCAACCCAAACCATTCTATGATTCTATTTTGATACTGCAAAATTATTTTTATGAATTTGACTAACTCGCAACAGGCTACCTGAAGAGCCACAATGCAGAAAAACTGCATTTACTTCTTATTGTTGAAAAAGACTCTAAATCAGTGTGTATCCCCTTTTTCATTAGCGCTCTAGATGCAAATAGGCACCTTTATTTTTATGAATTTGACTAACTCGCAACAGGCTACCTGAAGAGCCACAATGCAGAAAAACTGCATTTGCTTCTTATTGTAGAAAAACATCCTAAATCATAGTTTGTATCCCCTTTTTCATTAGCCCTCTAGATGCAAATAGGCACCTGCTCCTGAAAGCTTCTCCCTTTCCCCTCACCTAGTGAAATGCAGCCTCTCCCTATTGTCCTTACATATTTATTGTAATATACTGATAAACTGATGAGTATTAGTACTGTTTGTTGCGTGGGTGTGTATGTAAGTAGCTGTCAGGCTGTAAATGCCACCAGGGCAAGACTGTTTGCCGGGAAGGCCGAATCAAGCTACACAGACCCATCAGCCCCTTCATTTAACATGCACGGCAGAGACAAACCTTCTGTTTGCTGCTGGGTGCCCGCACACGCTGCCTCAGCCCCCCGCGCCGAACACCCTCAGTGCGGGTACGTGCCCGTTCCTCGGGATGGCGGCTCCTGACCGATGGCTGGAGCCCGAAATCTAACAAAGCCGGCTTTATTAATTTCACACCCTCCGTTAGGCCGACAGAGCTGCTGCCCCCAGAGGCAGGCGCGCTATCTGGGCCAGCCTGAGGGAAGGCCGCGTTTCTGCACATTCGGGTTATTTACTTAAGGACGCGGCGGGACCAGGAAGAGACGGAGGGCAGCGGCCCCGGGGGACGCTGTGGAGCCTGTAGCCGCGGGGAGCGCTCGGGGCCTTGTCCCGGGGAGACAAGGAACAGCCCGGCCTCCTCACCCTCTCTCAGGAACCGCGCCGAGACCTCTGAGGCGGCGGCCCCCCCGCAACCTCCGCCACCGGACCCCAGGGCCTCCTCCGGCCAGACCCACTGAGGCGAGCCGAAGCGAGCCGAACCGAACCGAATCAAGCCGAAGCGGGACCAGCGGCGTCAACTCACCTCGGCCGAGAGCGCAGGCGTTTCTGGGAGGCCCCGCCCTCCCCCGGCGGCCGTCGGGAACGCCCCGCCTCCTCAGGGCCCCTCAGAACGCACCTTCTCGGCCCTGATAACGGGGGGACGCCACGTCCCCGGAGCCTTTCGAGACCGGGCTGGACGGGACCCCGCGCAGTCCTGTTTAGCGAGGGCGTCCCAGCCCGTGGCCCCTTCCCCGCCGAACCGCTGAGGGCTCTCATGGCTCTGCCCCGGGCAGGGGGTTCGCGCTGCGTCAGGCACGCGCTGCCGGCGCCCGCCCCCGCTGAGGTAGAGCGCGCTGGGAACGGCTCGTGCTCTCTCACACACACCCCCTCACCACCTCCCCCGCGCTCCCCGGCCCACGCGCCCGGCACGGCACCGCCCGCGGCCACGCGCCCTCGCAGGAGGGGCGGGGATTGGCTGCAGGGAGCCGCAGGGGGCGGGGCGCGGCGCGCGCGCGCCTCCCGCGCAGGCGGTGAGCGGACTCCCCCGCGCGCGAGGCTGAGGGCTGTAGCCGCTCCCCC